ATTGCCATGACTTTCTTCCTAGTCTATCTTAGTCTTTAAGTGCCACTGAAATCTGTTCATCACCACTGTGCCATTCAAGCCCCCACTGACAGTGATGACTAACTGCACTTGAGCTGCACTGTCCAAGAATCAAACCCAGATCTCACACATGGCAGGCACAAATTCTACCACTGCCCCACCACTGCTTCCATGAGCTCAGAGTACATGATTAGAACTGTGTCTCCCTCACAGTCATAGAATCGGGGCTAGAAGGGACCTGGGAGATTCTATGTTCTCAGTCTCTCTATTGTCTCTATGTCTGATCATTCTTCTCATTTGTTATCATAGGGAAGGAAGATTTTGGAGTAAATTTGTCTAGATCATAAGGATAAATAAGATACAGTCCCAGACTTCAAAAAGCTCACAGTCAGAGAGGATCATGGTGATGAGCCCAACAAGCAAACATACCCTTACATTGCAGGGTGCTGGAAGTATACACACAGTAGAACAAGAGCATCATGCAGAAAGCAGAGAGTAGCTTTGTAGAAGAAGGAGTGTTTATACTGAAGCTTCTATGATTCTAAGGCATATTTCTAGGACAAAGCATTCCATGAAGACATAATAAGGCTGTGTGCAAAGGAATGAAGGTATAAGAGCATGGCTTTCCAGGACCTCCCAGACTCATAGTATAACTGAAGCAAGAAGGGCACCAAAGAGATGACTAGTGCATTGTGATAATCCAGGGATCCATTAAGGATGGATCAAGTCCTCAAGGAACCCATGAAGAGTGTTAGGTCCAAGGCATGAGATAATTTTCAAGCAAGAAATAACACTTCAGCAACAAAGAGGAAGCCTAGAGGCAGAGAGACCAGAGATTACTGAAGTAATCCTGCTGTTGTTGTTAAGTGCAGTCGAGTCGATTCTGACCCATAGGGACCCTGTATAGGGTCTCCGAGGAGAAGCTGTTGAGCTTGAACTGCCGATCTTGCAATTTGGGCTTGCCCTAAGACAGTGTGACAGAGGAACCTGTCCTGTAGGCGTGCATGAGAGCTTAAATGCTGGTCCTCATGACTGGCTACATGTAGATCTTTAGGCAGAGGGGGAACTGCTTAGTTCATGCCCAGGATTCGATGTATACCTCTGTGTGATTCGTTGGTGGTTTTATTCATCCATCTGATGAATGTATAGATAGAGGAACTTTGAAAGTAATGATTTCATTTTGTGACTTTTGAGGTATTGGAATGTATGTGAGAAGTCCAGAAAATAGACTCCTAGTAAAGCTAGACATGTTGGTTTGGAGATTGGAAGTAGCCTTAGGCAGAGATTATTTGGGAATTATCATCATACAAGTGGTTGTTAATATGATGGGTAAAGAGATAAAGGAGCACTGGGCAAGAAGGCAATTTTATGCTCTGTTGTAATGTGTCCTGAATGATCCAAGAACACACGATGAGACTGCCCTGATTAAGTAGGTTGTCCAAGGAGGCTCTAAATTAGAATCTGTATTCATTAAATAAGTGTTTATGGAACACTGTTTGTGGGAGCTGACATAAGTTTATGAGAAGTGAACAATATATGCAAAATCTTGTCTTTATCCTTATGCCGTTCATAAATTATAAGTGAGGAATCATGGATTTAATTAAATTTCTACAATAGTAAGTGCTATCCAAGAAGCATATAGGGTGATGTATTGTCATTTTTGTTATTGTTGTTGGTGTTGTGAAGTGCCGTCGAGTCAATTCTGACCCATAACAACCCTGTATAGGATTTCCAAGGGGCAACTGGTGAGCTTGAACCACCAACCTTGCAGTTCAAATGATTTTGCAGTCTAACGCATTAGGCCAAAAACACCACACTAGGACTCCTGTTTTTGTTATTGTTGTTGCTGTTGTTATGTGCCATGGAGTCGGTTCCGACTCATAGCGACCCCGTACAGGGTTTCTGAGGCTGTAAATCTTTACGGGAGCAGAAAGCCTCATCTTTCTCCCACGGAACAGCTGGTAGTTTCAAACTGCTGACCTTGAGGGTTACAGCCCGATTCGTAACCACTATACTACAAGAGCTCCCTTGTATTTCTTATTAGATGCTGTCAAATAATTTTCAACTCACAGCAACCCAATGTGACAGAATAGAACTCCCCAGTAGGGTCTTCTTGACACAATCTTTAGAGGTATTGATCACCAGGCCTTTCATACATGGAGACTTTGGGTAAGTTTGAACTACCAACTTTCAGTTGGCTTAACCATTTTCCCCCAGGGTTCCTTATAGGGTGATTTCATAATCCTGGGGAAGAGAATTGTGAAAGGTGACACTTATTTTCTGGGGCCAAAGAAGACATCCCTGAAGAAGTTATACTTCAAGTGGACCTTAAGGATAAGCAGAATGAGCAGAGAGAAGGGATGAGGAGAGTACTCCAGGGAGACTGGACATCACTTTCAACAACTCCAAGATGGAAAAAAATTATGGTGTGTTAAAAATGAGTCCCTGTTATAGTACAAATGATGAGTGTGCTCAGCTGCTAACCAAAAGGTTGGAGGTTCAAGTCCACCCAGAGGCACCTCAATCTTGACAGTCGCCTTCTGAAAAAACATCCATTGAAAACCCTGTAGAGGTCTTGTATCCTAACACACATAGGGTCTACAGCTTCACAGCAGCTGGTGATAGTGGTGTTGAGGGACCAGAATACCGCCTCCATGGCTTGTAGGAGCAAGGGAGCTCAGGGTTTGAAATGAGTAAGCTACCTTTGAGCCTCTTCCTGAGACTTTGTAGCTCCCCCTTCCCTGCCTGCACACGGAACACAATTCTACACCCACAGGATGGTCAAGGGAGGGTGTATTGCATCCTTGTGGCATGGTGCAGTACCCAGAACTCCATCTTGGAGCCCAGTGTAGGCCACTCATTCATGAGCAATGAAGAAGTGATTTTGTGCTTTTTGAAAACTTAATAGTTGCCTAGATCTGACAACGTATTGCATTGGGCAAATCTGCTGCACAGGAACTTTTTAAAGTGTTGAAGAACAGAGATGTCAGCTTGAGGACTAGGGTGCGCCTGACCCAGGCCATTGTGTTTTCAATAGCCTCATATGGATGCGAAAGCTGGACAGTGAATAAGGAAGATCGTCGAAGAATTGATGCCTTTGAGTTGTGGTGTTGGAGGAGAATACTGAAAGTGCCATGGACTGCCAAAAGAACCAATAGATCTGTTTTGGAAGAAGTGCAGCCAGAGTGCTCCTTGGAGTTCAGGATGGCTAAGCTTCGTCTCTCCTACTTTGGACATATTGTCTGGAGGAAACAATCGTTGGAGAAGGATATCATGCTGGGTAGGGTGGAGAGTCAGAGAAAAAGAGGAAGACCCCCAACGAGATGGATCAGCCAGGTGGCATCATTGATGGCATCAAGTGTGGCAGCGGTAGTGAGGTTGGCCCAGGATCGGACATTGTTTCGTTCTGCTGTGCATAGGCTCGCTATGAGTCGGTTCCGACCCAATGGCATCTGACAACAGATCTGAGAAAGGGGTTGTTGAAGCAGAAAAGAGAGACAGAGATGTTGAACAGTCAAAAGATCAATATGTTTTGGTCAATATCGCTTCCCTGGGAGTATAACATTGTAGTTTGGTGGCAGCATCAGAACGTGCCTCTCCAATTTAACCCAACCTCTTCAGAAATCCAGCCTTCGTGCATATTGGTCCTTGGTGTGTTTCTTTTGTGAAACACAACAAACCAATTGAGAAAATAACCTTGAAAAAAAACTTGATTGATTTTTCAAAGAAAGCAAGCACTCCTATGAAAATTTATCTTAAGTCTATTAAAGCCATCTTCCTAGGCAACTTGGAAGAGGAACCAAACTAGATTGCAGTTCCATTTTCTGCAAAAAGCTTTTATTTGCTTCCCCACAGTTTTGCCTTTTTATTTCCACCAAGTTGCTTCATTAGGTGAAAAACTATATGGTCAGTTAAAATGTTGATTTTACCTATTGATACCAAGTGCATCTTTCTGTTCCTTCCAACTTCCAAATATGTGTTTTGGAGTTGCTTTGTCCAAGGTAGTGATTTCAAGAATACATTTCTTTCAGGTGCTGTAGTTAAACCAAAAATTAAGAATTGCCAAAAGTTTGATATCTGGCTCTAGCACATATGATGTGCCTTTTGAGCCTGTGTTGTCTTATCTGTGGAATGAGGCTGTTCTAGAAAATAAATGAGATAATGCATAGCAGAGTGCTTTATAAATTGTCACATCATCTCCATGTTAGATACTTTTACCCCCATGATTATCATCACTCTAATCAACAAGAAAATCATTCACACTAAAATATGAAGACGCTTTATATCTGCCAGACAAGTTCTTTGTACACATGCTCTTCTTTTCTCTCCCCTCTCTCCATATTCATGGACATGTCTAAGAATAGCATTTCAGAGACATATGAAGGAGCATCCAACCCTCAACCCCCTCCCAGTTTCCTGGAGGGGAAAAACACAATGTTGTGTGATTGTTAACATATTTTAACTGTCAAACGTACTTACAACCAGCTATCTAAATTGTGAAACATACATTACAGCTTTCTTTTAGTTCAGTGAAAATGTAAAACATCACAAATCTTGCATGAAGATGGAACAGAAAGACAAGCAAATGAGTATTAGAAGAGTTTCCATGGTGTCCAAGGATTAGGGGAAACACCCATGGGTTGACATGCAATAATGTTGGTGTTGTGTTTTGTGTTCATTTAATCTGTGTAAGCAGGTGTGTTTCATAAAATCAGTACTATTTTTCTCCTTCTGCACTCCATCCACAATCAGTCCTACTTCCTTCCTAGTCTTTCAGCTATGATTTACATGATTGGGTTTGAGAGTGTCCCTCCTTGTGCAACAGGAAAAGTTATGCATTTGATATGAGCGACAAGAATAAGAAATGTTGCAATGCCCTGATAGTGCACAGAATGGACCATTTTGTGAGGTGGGGAGGGGAAAAGTGGCATAAAGCATTTTTCTCTTTCCGATTGCATAATGCTTTCTCTTTCCAAACTCAGGTAACTGTGACAGATGGCGGCTCCTCCCCCAAACAGTCAACAATTTGGGTGGTGGTTCAGGTGCTGGATGAAAATGACAACAAGCCCCAGTTCCCAGAAAAAGTCTACCAGATCAAGCTGCCAGAACGTGACCGGAAAAAGAGGGGAGAACCCATTTATAGGGCTTTTGCCTTTGACAGAGATGAAGGCCCCAACGCAGAAATCTCCTACAGCATCGTGGATGGGAACGATGATGGAAAGTTCTTTATTGACCCTAAAACTGGCATGGTTTCTTCCAGAAAGCAATTTACAGCAGGGAGTTATGACATCTTAACGGTAAGATATTCTGAACCACAGAAACAGTAATGGGAGGAGGGATTACTTTCTTATCCATGAACATTCTTTAAGCAAGTCAATCTTTAGAATAGAAAAGTACAACTTAAACAAATTCCTGGGAGACAAGAGCAGGTGAAAATTCTGGACTATGTTGATCATGTAATGAGAGAGTTTCCTTTGGTTGTGCCCTACCAGCAAACCTTCTCCATTACTAGTCCACAGTAACTGCACAATACATGAAACCACAACTCCTGTGGCCCCAAACCATGTTCAGAGTGAGCAGATGTGTATACTGAAAGTAGAGGAATAGCAGTGTGTCATGGGCAACTCATCGCTCAACATATTTCTCCACATGTTCTCAATTAAAATAACTTTTGTGACTGTTGACAGTGCAGTAGAACATGAATTTGCTTTATAAATGGGGAAACACAAATTGCAAGCCATGCTTAGTCTCCAAGAGAGGAAAAAATTTCCAGTGGAAAAGTGCCAATATTTTCCATTGTTAGAAAACCAAAAATGAAAACAAATATGACCATTAGCTCAAGTAGAGACTAAATTCCCAGGTCCCAGCATGCTTCCCCGACCCCTTACCATTGTCGACCTATGTCAGTAAGGTGAGTGGCTCTCCTCACACATGATGAACACTTTCCAGAGTCCCAGTAACTATTAAGCATTGGTGCCATCTGTTGTCCTTCCCTTTGTCCTCAGATTTCTCTGTTGTATACAATCGATTCTTTAATAATTTAAGGAGTGGTATGATTTTCTTGATGTATGTTTCCACTTTCATGGCCTAGATTTGGATTACTTCCCCTGCCCAGTAACATATCCAGAATACTAAACAGAGAAATGAAATGAAGATAATAAAAAACCTGCTATGCTTCTATAACTGCAAGCTCTGTTAGGTTACAAATTATTACAGCTATGAGAGATTTGCAGTCTGGCAACTTTCAGAGTTAGATGGACCATGATGCCCCACCTAGTTTGCCTTTACCATGCGAATATATCTATTCTCCAAATACTGAGTTTCTCTGCTAATGGCTCACAACTGCCCTCTTTTCCAGAAAAAAAATTAAAAAAAAATGTCCTTGGCTAAACATGAGGTACATAGACCAAAAGTCTTTACTTCACACACACACACACACACACACACACACACACACACACCCAGCAACCTCTAGCCAATGGTTAATTTACACAGGAATACAAAACCAACCTTATTGCCTGTAGGTGAAACCAACTCCATGGTTTAGTTAATACCTCAGAGCTTTCTGTGGCATTAGGTTGAAGTTAGACATGAGCAGAGACCACATTCTTACTTCGTTCCTCCCCTTTCCATATCCTGCTGTCTTCACACAGCACACTCCCCTAGAAAATCATGTGTACCCAAATCTCTGTCTCCTAGGTAACCTGACCTAAGACATAGATCTTCAAGGATATTCCATGTTATTGGAATTTGGGGAGGGAGAAGAAGTGATCATCCATGAATACATAGCATTATAGCGCTATGAACTGTTGCTGTATATAAAGGCTATAGCTGCTAATCATGCTCCTATAAATATTATTTTTGAAACAATATTTGGAAACTCATTTAAAAAATTAAATTTAATTTTCTGCCAGTGTTTTCTTCTTATTGGTTTGACCATCCCGTTTGAGTCCAGTATACTACAGCAGTTCACCCTGCTCAGCTGGGCTAGGCAACATGCTTCCTTATTCTTGTATGAGATGACTCAAGACCACAGAGAAGAGTCATTAGCTCCATTCTCCCACCTCCAATCCTTCTGCCTCTAGGTGCTCATGTTTCCACCAAGGGAGTTCTCTTGTGCTCATTAAGAGTTGGCATAACTGAAGAGTCTCTAAAGTCATTAGAGCAAGGTTTCTGCCTGTCCACCATCTACCCCATCACCTTTGTGGGACTCTCTGTCAGTCGAGTACTCTTTCAGAATTAACCATATGAAAGAGCTGAAAAATTGGAGCACACATACATATATACATAGAGACGCATGCAGCCATATACAAGGTTTCATTTCTACCCACAGCATTCCATATACTGCTTTAAATAGGGATTCACAATGCACTTTATTCCCTTTCTCACCACAACCACCAGAAGCAACATTCAGATTCATGGTATAAAGAATCAAATTAGCCATCCTGACTCATACAACTACATTCATGCTCATAAAACACTAAGTATGGTAAGTATAATGTTTATTTTCCCAGTCTTCCACATCTATACGGTTGACAGTGTGGGCCACATCGTCTTATTGGACACTTACGTGGCGAAATTGCTTCGGCCCCATTTCTGGACCACATTCTCCCCAGATCTCCACTCTCTTTCCCACCCCCTTTCTGCCACTGTGATAAGGATGGATCTTCCTCCCACTATCATATGCAGTGACAAAGCCAAGCTTCAACAAGGATCCGAGCTCTCAGACATAAAGATGTTCTTCTGTGTTCTCTCCATGTGTGAGTAGATAAAAGCGGTGGACAATGGGCGCCCACAGAAATCCTCCACGGCCCGCCTCCACATTGAATGGATTAAGAAACCACCCCCTTCACCTATACCGCTGACCTTCGATGAACCGTTTTATAACTTCACAGTCATGGAAAGCGATAGAGTAACAGAGATTGTAGGGGTGGTATCTGTGCAGCCAGCTAACACCCCTCTGTGGTTTGACATAGTTGGTAAGTTTGAGTCCTCCAGAGCAGTATTGACCAATGTCATAATTGGCTGTTTGAAACAACTAGCAAGAAAACTAACGATTAGTGCTGAGACTAAAAGATGTATAGTGCTGCAATGCAAAAGAGCCAGTAAAATGAATAATCAACTTGTGCTTTCGTTCTGACTCTGTAGCTAAGCTGAACAGAAAGTGCTCTCTGGCTGGATTTTCCATAGTACGTTATTTACTGCAATCTTAATGTCTTTCTGTGTGTCATTTAAATTCTATTGTCACACTTGGCTAATCTCATTTCTAAATGTATTGATGGTACTAGACTTGCTGTCTTTCATTTCTCTCTTTTTCTTCACCTTTTTTCTGCATTCTGTTCTTTTTTTTTTCTGCTCCCGACTGCCCTGCTTCAAGGTGGCAAGCATGCTCGAGAGATGTTCTATATTCTACAGACAGCTTGTGGGCAGAACTGTTCAACAGAAGGTACCCTTAGTGCAAACACATTTGCTAAAATACAGCTATCCAATCTGCCTTTTACGGTTTTGTTTTTTGTTTTTTTTAAAAGCAAATTAAATTACATCTTTCATAACTGCCTGTGACAGGCTGAACTACAGCTCACAGATCTCATACTTGTCTCTAACAGCTATTGCATTACTCGTATCCAATGGCTCTTTTGTTTGAGGTTTGATGGGGCTGGAATTTGGGGAGTCTGTTTTGATTTTTTTTTTTTCTTTGCTTTTCAGGTTTGGGGCTTTTTGTTGTTTTGTTTTTATCTTTTGTAGGTTGAAAATATATTAAAATATATGTCAGCCCCCCTATTTTGCAGCAGCAGTGCCATTCATATAAACCAAAAAGCTTCACTAGGAGAGTCCCCTGGCTGCTGTCCACAAAGGAAAGGCAGGAAATGGAAGCTAGATAGATGGCCAATGAGCTTCCCATGTGAACTGATAGAGAAAGCAGATGTAAGCCTACAAACTAGGATTTGGGAGTCAACCTGCAAATTCCTTGAAAGCAAGCAAGCAAGCATGCCCGGCTGGAAAGGGAGTGTGTGAGAGAGTGCTACTGCCCTTGACAAACCATCAGGGAGAGGCGGTAGAGAGGAAATGAGTGCCACCTAGGGCTGGGGAACAAAATGGGCTGTTGCTAAGAGGAGAGTTGAGGAGCATGTACACCAGCCCGGATGTGACACGGAACTGAGACGGAGCTGACTTCCCACGGTTCTCCATGGGAGGCTGGGAATCCAGGAGAGAGCCAGTCTGGAGGAATCATTTCCTTCCACATATCACTGCCTGGCTGGAATAGGCAGGAACCTGCCTCCCCTCCCAAGAACCGCAGAGTCTGGGGAAAACATTTAGAGCCTTCTACATCTGCATCTTGGAGACAGAAAAAGAATGCCTCCTGGCTCTCACTGTAATCTCAATAGCAGGGTTTCAAACCGGTTCATTCCGCTTTGACCCCCTGCTGATAACTTGCATTTCCACTCTAGATTTACTGGATCTCTAGAAGGTACTTAACAACAACAATAGTTTAACAAGATCCCCAGGTGATTCCTATGTATATATAAAAATCACCTGGGAAATTTATTGAAATGTTGATCCTAACTCAGTATTGTTGTTGTTGTTAAGTGGCCTTGAATGGGTTTCCATAGTGACCCTGTATAAGGTTTCCAAGGAGTGACTTGTGAGCTTCAACTTCTGGCCTTGTGGTTCAAATCAACTGTGCAGTCCAGTGCATTAACCCACTGCACCATACTGGGCTAAAAAGACAAATTCTTAGCAGTGGGTTGAACCAGTTTGGAGTCCTGCTTGATAGAGTGTCCTCTGAACTCCCAAAATGAAAGGGCTTGTTGGCTACATATTTCATTTTCAAGAATGACTGTGCAGCATCTTTATATTGTTTAATTACCATTGGCCATACCACTTCTGTACGGAACCAGCTTCACTTTAAGCTTTCATCTCCGCTTAACATATTTGAAATTGATAATCTTCTGGTGTGTGAGAGATGTCTCCACTTCTTTATCTTCTTAGTGAGTTTCAGTTCATTAAGATATTATCTGCTGCAGCTTCGTCTTCCTTGATGGACCTAAGGATGCTCACATCTTATAATCTAGTTGTCTGTACAGCCACCTTCGGCGATTTCTTTACTAACCACTTCCCATCAGAGAAGATGCATCAGTTTTGACATGTGTCCCTGGCCTCCAGGGACATATGTAATATTGATTTCTTTTAAATGTCCCAAATAAGAATGCAGTGGCAACCCAATAAGTAACAGGGACACTGCTATGCTGTCTGTGAGAGGTCGTCCTCACTCATCAGCCACTGGTTTATTTCCTCCCCTGACACTCCAGCTTGTAAGCACCTCTACTGCCTGACAGTGTTGCTTCTCTCCCTTGTACCATGCCTGCAAACCTCCTGACCTGTTGCACGTCTCATTTACCACTTTACCCCACAGCATCCTCACTGTTGGTCCACTTTTAAAACCACTACAAGCTCCTATTTCTCTGATACTCAGTCATCTAGCCTCCAGAACCTGATTATCCAGATTGATTTTGTAACTCTTTAACATTCCTGCATGTATCTGCGTGGTTGTGTATAAGCAAGCGTACCTACCAGTGCTGCATGGACTCTCACTTGGATATCTTTCATGACAGGATTATTATTGCTATGTATATTTTCATTTGCGTTTCTCCTGTCTTCATCCTTACATGCTAAGGTCAAGACCGTTGTGTCCTCATTCCTTCCTACTGACAATGCTTCTGTTGTTCTCCACCCAAGGTGAGTGGAATAAACGATGCTGACTGATTGAGGTACCACAGGCAGCTCATTTGTTAAGCCTACTGATGCCTCCTGAAACCGATCCAGACTTAGGGAGGCCTTCCACAGTATTCTCAGCCACAGCAACTTAGACATAATGGGGACATCACTTGTCCAAAAGAAATGGGGACCCTCCTTGGAAGGAGTCATTTCAGGCTGCTCCCAGTATAGATCCAGACACCATTATCAAGAGTGTGACATCTGCTTTAACATTACTCCATCTTTGGTTTTCTAAATGCTACACTTCCTGTAGAATACCTTCCATTTCAAAGCACTAAGTAGTTTTCTGAATGGATGCTTCCACTATAGATATTTCACTGTAGATCTGGTAAAGTCTTACTGAATTTCCCTTACAAGTTCAACTTACTGGGCCAGACGCCCAAGGAAAATACCATTTTCTTTCCATCCTCACATCCAGCCAAAAGCATCATGAGACTCCAACTCTTTCTTTCACTGCAGAAATAAATCTTTCCCCCAGATGCTGGATGCTTTCAATATAGATATGGTGCCTCTTCTACCCAATCTCCCTATTGAAAATCCTTTCTAATCTATCAGAGTTGGGTTTGTTTTTTTTTTCCATTCCACTGACAACATCCTTCCCCTTTTCTAAATACCTATTGTTTATCAGATTCAGATGTTTTAGTCTCAGTTTCAAGATTTCTTACTTATTTGTACTTGGCCATTGAAACTCTCATCTTTCCTCTCTTCTTCCTTAATGAAGCATCCTCCTTGGCCAAGTTAACAAAGAGGAAGGAGATGAAATCAATAGCTTAAGTTTAGCCGTGGATTGTTATATTCTAAACAGAGACATTGAGCATATCATTTCAGCGTGGAACTGAAAGAGGTCTCAGACTTAATTTTTAAGTTTTGCCTTAGTAAATGCTCTTATGAATCTTTCGAGCAGAGTCAAACATTGATTTCATTTTAGGCCTAGTATAGTCAGATGCCTATCAAATACAGAGACCACAGAATCCTGGCCTCACACTTAACAACTTACAAATGCTAATTAGTTCTTAATTAAGTAAGCAGAAATAGGGTCTCAGCATGTTTTTTCTCCTGAAAGTACTGTCTTCCCATTTCCATAATTCCAAACCTACCAGTCTTACTTTAACTGCATTTCTTTTCCTCCCCTTATAAGATGAATTCACAAAAACTGTAAGGTAACCATGGTTTTGTTCCCCAGCCTGGGCCCCTGCACCAAAGTCTGCCAGCCAATTTTTTGTACCTCCAAAGAGATCACTGCTTATGATGTTATGTAGTTATACTCTCCTCAGTTTCCAGAAACAGAAGTCCTACTTGTAACCCAGCGAAGAAAGCTGTAATTAAAAGGAAACATAATAAAGTTCAGCTGTTCTGTGTTTTAACAGCCCAACGCACAGCATGTTCCTTCTCTGTGTTAAATGGGAAAGAAAATGAAGGGAACAAAAATAACCCAGAATCCTTTGTGGCTTCGTCACATATCTTCACACTTCTCCGGAGACCATGATTTCAACTCAGCAGCTCCTTGATTTACATACTTTCTAATGTGCAAGCAATCTGGTTCACAGTTCAATCCTAGTGTCTTTATTCTGGTGGCAAATATTTGTATTGAAAGGCTACCTTTACTGTGCACTTCAAATAATTCCTTTAATTCACAGTTTGACAGGGGACACTGTCACCCATTTTTTATCTTTTCACCTGCCTTAGACTAGAAATATAATTTTACTTGTAGATAGTAAGCACTTAAACCGCCTTTATTTGTTTGCTTCACAGAATGACAGAGAAGAAAAGCTGTTCTTTGAAAATATTTCTGTGGTGTTGAGAGCCAGCTCAAAATCCAACTCTACCAGAATACTTCTATGTGTTTGAAATACATAAAAGCCACCTTAACCCTGAGGTTGTCATAGATTCCTGCAGACCCTTGGGCTCTTGGCTATTCTGCCTCATAAGCTCATGTCTGTTCTTCTTGAACTTTCTCCCAACAGCTTCTTCCCTTAATTAGGGTTGGGTGAACATTATTGTTCTTGTGAGTTGCCTTCAAGTCAGCTCCAACTCATGAGAATCTTACATCGAACAGAATAGAATGTTGCCTGTTCCTGTGCCGTCTTCATAACCGCTGGTCTGTCTGAGTTCATTATTGTGGCCGTTGTATCAGTCCATCTTATTACGGCTTTCCCGTACTTTCACTGATCCTCTGCTTTTCCAACCAGGATGTTCTTTTCTAGCGAATGGTCTTTTGTAATGATATATCCAGAGTAAGCAAATCAAAGTCTCGCTCTTCTTGCTTCTAAGGAGCTTTCTTCTAAGCTTGGTTTGTTTGTTCTTCTGGCATCCCAGAAGGACAGTATATTCAGTATCCTTCACCAGAAACACAGTTGGAATACAGTTGACCTTTTTATCAATGCAACTGGTAGCAATGTTCTCTAACTAGAGCTTAGGCATCTCGGAGTCATCTCGAGCCAAGTGGTCATGTTTCCTTGTCACAAAACTCCTGTACCTCCTGAAAGCATTCACATCTGTCCATGTCCCACTTCTAATACAGCTATTCCTCCAACTGAATAATGACTCAAAATTATTCAGTTGACATTAAACACTTTGTTTCTCATATTCTATAGTCTGTCCTAACTTTGGTTCTAAACACGCTTCTCTTATCTCCATAACAACAATATAATTCATAGGAACACATCTAGAGAGTATTTAGGAATATAATAAAGTCTAAACAATAATTCATGTGATCACTGTTTTAAAAAAGTAATTTTAGACCAAATTTAGAAGAGGTTTTTTATTCTACCTCAACCTCCTGATCTCCACCCAGTCTCTCCTACCCTCAATGTAAACATCCTTTCCAGCCCCGTGCTGTGCTTGCTTCATTACAAGGCAGAAGATTATTCATGATCAAACCATAACTGGTGTTAACATTTTTCTCAAGTTCAGCATACATGCTGAACTTGAATGAACAGCTTGTGTATGACTCCCTTAATTCATTGAGATGCAGAAGCTCAGAGTTTTGGAAGCTTCTCACATAACACTTCCCCCTTGGTGATTACTAGATTTTGGTTGATATTTTTTAAATTAGGCATGAAGTGGAATAGAATCATATGCTAGAGGGAGGGACCTGGAAACTTTCCTAAAGGAGAAGTGAAGTAATCTTCACCACTGCATCTCTTTGTGAGAGATGGTGTTACTTTGCACCCTTATTTACAGAAATGACACCAGCACATTAGCTCTTGGCTAAAACTAATTTCTTTAAAGTCCCTTTCTTTTTTTAAAGTTTTTCAGGACATCCCTACTTACTTTATTTAACTTTAGAATCATAAAAACGCAATATGCCTCTTCTGCTCTTTGTGTACTTTTATACTCGTCTTGAGTGAGAGTGGTCAGAGAAATATCCCAGATGTGAATTATCTGTTATGTGGGCTGTTCACAACCTCGCTTTAATCATCTCTGCCACATGCCCCTGCAGCAACGCTCAGGCTGTGACTCTTGATCTCCCACTTTGTTGAGACTCTGACCAGCTCCCCAGTGTCCTTCCTTCTCCCCACCTTTTGTTTAGCCTAACGCTGCTGCGCCAAACATACTCTGGCTTTGCATGTTCTGTTACTGGCTCTGAGGAAGCACATCTTGTTTAAACAGAATGCTGCTGGTGCAAATGGACTCTTTGTATTTTTTATTCTTACCCCCAATGAATTGTGCATGGTCTCCTGTGGAAATGAAATCATCTTTTAGGCTAAAATAGAGCCTGAGAAATGAGACCGGGGGAAAGAGATGGAATCGTGTTTGAAATGGGATGCTTAAATGGTAGGCAATGGCATTGCATGAGGATTGATGGTAAACTGGTGGTCTAGAGTCTGTAACCCTTGTCAGAAATTCATTGCAACACTCACTGAAAATTCTAGGGACCGTGTTATCGTGAAATCTTGGTTTAACAAGGAAATGAGTATCACAGACTGCCAGCCAGACTAGTAGATAGATGGAGAGAGACTTTGCAGGTGCTCTTAAGTGCTCTTTGGTCTGCTTTTCTATTTGTCTATCTCCTCCACCACTTTAAAACTTTCTAGTCTAGCATATTTGAAACAGTAAAGTAAATGAAGAAGATACTTACACATACAGAAAGAAAAAGAACTTCAAAAAAAGCAAAAGTGACAATCATAAAAGTAAACAAAAGTGATATTTGCTACTTAAAAATGTCTGAAAATTTTACATGTATGCCATATGTAAAGTACATAAATTGTATGTCACTGAACACATAAAATAACATATATTTCTGTAGAAGGAGAACATGCAGGATTGCCCAGTGTAAACTTAAACTGGATATCTTTATCATATATTCTCTGAATTTCATTTCCATTAACGTTTAATCTGGAGCAAACTAAAGTTTTATAATTTGCATAATTTCTGCTTGGCATTAAACCTACAGATGTTCGACTTCTAAAAAACTTTGGTGGATAACCTCTTTCCCTGCCCCATGTGCCCCTAAAAATCACAGTCCTCAAAAAGACAGTAAACATCTTAGTTAAGAAATATCATAAATATAATTTAAAACATGATTTAAAATTTAAGTTAATACCCACCAGAAGCAGCATGAGAATTTGCAAAATCATATTTTTTTCTGAACAAGTCTTATGCAGTAAAAGTACATGCTTTCTTTGAAAGTTCCATGGCAAAGTTTTTTGTTTTCCAAAATGTACCACTTAGTCATAAATGACTTTTCTTTGCTAATTAGGGTAGTTATTTGAGATGCTAGAACCAGCCTTATGTTTTTTTCATGTGGTTCTCAACATGAAACATTCCCTTTGAAATAGAAATGGTCACCCACTGGTGTTTCCTTTCTCGGCTGACATCTCCAATCCCTTCTACTTATCTTAGCCTCCAAAAGATCTTTTCCGCGTTAATACTTCGCACTACTCAGTAAATCAATTAAAGACACTAATTGGAAGCTGAGTTTCTTTTTAGATGAAATTTTTGAAAAAGCATATAATTTGTAAGCAATTCTCGGGTATCCCCATATCTCCATAACTTTAATTAAATGTCAATGACAATTATGTTCTCTCTAGCAATTAAATAATCTTAAGTGTATATGACAGCTGCAAGAAAAAAGTATTTGAAATATATGTTGCCAGTTTCCTTTTTTTGAAAGCCTACCATATTATTTATTTTCTGTCAGTATACAGCATATTCTAGTAATTCAGGCAAAAGTCTTCTTTCACTGAACTCATATCCCCATTATAACAGTAATATCAGACAAATGTATTGTTGATTGATCATCAAAATGAAATACAAGGGGTACTGAATATAGGAAAAGCCAAAGTTTATTCCTTAAAATATGAAATTTAATGAACACACTGCCCCACATGTGGTTAGGTGAAATTACTATCCAAGAACAAAATTAACTGATACCATGACATTTTAGATTAAAACCAATAGAACTTGTGCGCATATGTTTATATTCAGTTAAAATTGCTCCAGTATTTATGTCATTATAATCTATCCATTTAAAAAAGAAATAGCAGGAAAACACCTTCTACTCTGGAAGGGTCATATACTGCACTTTGGTTCACAGAGATGGAGAGAATCAGCAGTGATTTCAACAATCTTAAACTTGCCTTTCAAAGACTATGGGTCATAACTGGCCCAGAGGGGAAAAATAAAGTTTCCTAAAATGTTATAGAAATAGTTTCATAAGTTGACATTATATAAGCTGATGTTTTCTCTACTTCTTTCCAGATTTCACTTTGTAAATCTCCCATAAACTTTCTACAGTGTTTTAGGAGAAAAATTATCCACAATATTTTTTTGCAGAAAATCAAATCTCAAAGATAGAATTTTTAATATGAAATTTCAGTTTTTGCTTTTCCATTCTTTCTAAAATATTTATTATTTTATTTCTGACACAATAGAGGGAAATATGAACTCTTCAAAACCAAATGTTTACCATCAATCCTAGAACATAATGTTTAAGAGTGTCTAATCATTTTTGTTAATACAGATTGGACTGTTTATTTACTTACAATGTAATATACTTTAGAAAAACAAAGAGGTTTTCAAATTCATAGCACAGAACTCATGGGGGACTGAAGGAAGGGCCTTTAGATTTCTAAATCTTTCATGGAGTCAGTTTATGCTTCACTACTCTCTGACATTACTGCTGAGGTATTTTTCCTTTGCAATACATTCTTTTTTGTGACAGTTGTTATGCATTGTAGAGGCTATGTCTTGAAATATGAATTATGCTGGAAATAAGGCAGTCCCATTTAAGAAATACAAAATTGAGCCATAGGGATGCCTGTCAAAACATATTTCTAGATAAAGAGCCCCGTTTAAAGATATGTTTTAATGCAAGTAATAACTTCTCAGATATGCTAATTCTATGCTCTTTCTGTGAAATTATCAGGGGGGAATTTTGACAGCTCTTTTGACGCAGAGAAGGGTGTCGGGACAATTGTCATCGCAAAACCTTTGGACGCAGAACAGAGGTCCATCTACAATATGAGTGTGGAAGTCACTGATGGGACAAATGTTGCTGTCACTCAGGTAAGGTGTTGAATTACTGAATAGTGGCAATGCTACAAGGCTTTCTAAAGTCAGAGATGCAAGTAATAAAAAATGTATTAGGAAACTGTTAAACTGGTATAAGTTTTGTTATGTACATTTTCACCACGATTTTTAAAAATCATAAAATGTTTTTAAAGTAGTAAATTATGTCTAGAAATGTCTAGTGTTTCAAAAAATCATTTACAAGAACCTAGGAGAAAGATTCTACCAGTGCTATTGTATACCTTAACTGCTTCTTTCAAGAAATTGTGATTGTTGATCTTTGATTGTGAATGTATCCCCTTGACAACCAAGCCAACTCTTCTTGAATGGACACAGAGGAGGGAGGGCATCTCTGTCATCTGCGTTAATGAACCATGCTACTCTTCACCTCCTCATTTTCATAGAGTCAACAGAGTTAAAAACAAGACCAAAAAGCATTGCCATTGACTCAAGCTCACCTCATAGCAATCCTATAGGACAGAGTAGAACTGTACCACAAGGCTAATAGACTGTAATCCTTACCTAAGCAGGCTACCACATCTTTCTCCTAGGGAGCAACTAGCGGGTATTTACCTCTGACCTTTCAGTTAGCCACTGAACACTTACCCACTGTACCACCAGGATTCTTCAGTAGGTTCTTGTTGCTTTTAGGCACTGTTGAGTCAGTTTCAACTCATAACAGCCTCATGTACAACAAAATGAAGCACTTTCCCGTCCTGCTCCATCCTTATAGTCCTTGAATGTTTGAACCCATTGTTGCAGCCACAGTATCATTCCATGTCATTGAGAATCTTTACCTTTTTTAATGACCCTCTAGTTGACCAAACATGATGTTCTTCTCCCAGGATTGGTCCATCTTGAAAACATGTCCAAAATACTTAAAACACAGTATCAACATCCTCACTTCCAAGGAATATTCTGGCTGTACTTCTAAAATTGATTTGTTCATTCTTCTGACAATCTGTGGTATATTTAATATTCTTGACCAACACCGTAATTCAAATACATCAAATTTCCTTTGTTATTATTTATTGTCTAGCTTTAACATGCACAAGAGATCATTGAAAATACCATGGCTTGGGTCAGGCACACCTGAGTCCTCAAACTGACTCTTTGTTCTTAAGAGGTGTTGAGCAGCAGATTTGCCCAATGCAATATATTGTTTGATTTCTTGACTGCTGCTTCCATGAGCACTGATTGTGGATTCAAGTAAAATAAAATCCTAGACAACTTCAATATGTTTTCTGTTTATTATGTTGTTATTTACTGGTCCAGCCATGAGCATTTTTGTTTTCTTTATGTTGAGCTGTAATACATAGCGAATACTGTAGTCTTTAATCTTCATCAGTAAGTCAATGAAATCTTCTTCAATTTCAGCAAGCAAGTTTGTGTTATTTTCATATCACATGTTGTTATGATTCTTCGTGTGATTCTGATGCTGCATTTTTCTTCATATAATCCAGTTTCTTGAACTACTTTCTTAACAAACACATTGAATAAGTATGGTAAAAGGATTTAACCCTGACACAATCATTCTTGATTTTAAACCATACAGTATCACCTTTTTCTGTTCAAATGACTGCCTCAATTGTATAAGTTCTGTATCAGCACAGTGAAATGAGTGTTCTGAAATTTCCATCTTCACAATGCTATCCATAATTTGTTGTGATCCACAGAGTTGAATGCCTTTGCATAGTCAATAAAACACAAACATTTTTTTTTGGTATTCTCTCCTTTCAGTCAATATCCATCTGACATCAGCAATGATATCTCTCATTCTACATCCTTTTTTGAACTGGCTTGATTTTCTGGCAGTTTCTTGATAATGTCCTGTTACTAGCATTGTTGTTATGTGTCATCAAGTCAGATCCAACTCATAGAGATCCTGTATATGGTTTCCAAGGTGTTACTGGTTGGTTTAAACCACTGATCTAGCAGTTGGCAGTTCAGTGCATATCCTGTAGCACCACACCAGGACTAGTTTAAGTGCTGTTGAGTCGGTTCCAACCCATAGCAACCCTGTATAGGGTTTCCGAGGACAGCTGATGAGCTTGAACCACCAACCTAGCAGTTCAAACGGCTTTGCAGTCTGGCGCATTAACCTACAGGGCAACACCAAGACTATAGTAGCTAGCATATATCAAAACCAAGCTCATGTTGATTTCAATTCATAATGACTTTACTGGACAGAGTATGACTACACCTTATGTTTTCCAAGGTTGTAATCTTGATGGAAGCAGATTACCATATTTTTCTCCAGCGGAGTAGATGGTTGGTACAATCTGCCGATCAAAAGGCAGCCGAGCACTTTAAACACTGTGCCACCAGGGCTTCTTGAGCAAGGACTGGGATCTTGGTGTCCTGACTCCCATTCCCCAGTCTAGCCTTTATGTCAGAGAATCAGCTCACATTTGACCTCAGAACCCTAGTCAACACAGTGCTTCAGGTAAGGAAGATGAACTTTTCACCAGTGCTGAACTAAGCAACTAAACTGATTTGTGTTAAACCTGATATATGCCTTGCTAACTGTTTAGTCCTACCAGCCATTAGTTACTTTGAGGCATCATGGAGCAGTGGCATCATTAGTACAGGTGTAGACCACACTGGGTAACACTGTCAGAGGGAGTGACAACAAATGGATTGATTTTTTTTAAAAAATGTGTACAGTATTTCAACAGACATGTATTGATTTTTATTAAAATATCAACTTTTTTTTTTTGCCATAAAGTATAATTTTCATTTTATTTTCTTGCAGGTTAGTTTTTCTTCAGCCTTTAAGTGTCAGTAAAAAAAAATCAACATTTTTATTGGCTAAATTTTGGAACTAGATTGCCATGCCTGTCATTAGTTACAACAACAAAAACATTTTTGTAAGCCTCTGGTAGCATAGTGGTTACGAATTGGGCTGCTAACCTCAGAGTCAGCAGTTCAAAACTACCAGCTGTTCCGTGGGAAAAAGATGAGGTTTTCTGCTCTTGTAAAGATTTACAGCCTTGGAAACCCTGTACAAGGTCACTATGAGTCAGAACCGACTCCACGGCACATAACAACAACAACAACAACAGCTTACATGCACCAATATACCACAAAGCTGGAATTCTATACTAATTTACTTCTTGAATCTTCTAATGTACTCTTGTCAGATCTGTTATTATTACCCAATTACAATGATATTTTGAATCATGTGGTTTCATATGCACACATTACAAGCACAATTTTTTTGTTGCTGCAGTAACAAAATCCTGGTGTGGAACCATAGGATAAGCACTCGCCCTGAAGCTCATTTTGAACTGCAGGGTCATCAGTTCAAACTCACCTGCCAACCCTCAGAAACCCTATTAAAGGGACAGAACCAACATGATGGCATTTAACAAGTGTTTTTATAGTACCTGATTTTATCAAAATTTCCGATGTTTTAACTACAATATCATGTTAATTAGTATTTGTGGAACTATATCAGTAACTTTTTTGAGAATTGGGTAATAATTAAAGGAAAGGACAAAATAAAAAATGAGTCTTGATCAGTTAATAATGTTGTAACTAGTCCTGGTACGGCACTCTAGGATAAAGCAAGGTCAGTTTGAACCACAAGGTCGGTGGTTCAAACTCACCAGACAGTCCTTGGAAACTCTATACAGGGTCACTAGGAGTCAGAACCACCACAAAAGTAATTAACAATAACAACTGATCATGTTATACTTCAGTGTAGAAAGAGTTTATAAAACAAATTTATTTTCAGTATTCATATAATCTAGGAATTAGTATGTTTTACAACTTTAATCAATTTACAACTATATTATTCTATGATGAAGATTGATAATAAACATTACTAAGAGTTCTGTATGTCTAGTATGGGAGGTAATCCATGTGCATATGTGTGTGGAGGGCTGACACCATTAGTTACCAGATTAAATGGCACCAACCTTAATGATGCCACAGTCATGGTGTATGTGTGTGTTGCTATTGAATTAGAAGGTATTCCACCAGTATTTCTAATACAAGTAAGGTCACTCATTTTGGACAGGTTTCAGCCAAGCTTACAAAGACGAGGAAGAAAGTAATGGCTATGTACTTTCATGAATTAGTCAGCAAAAACCTTATGATTCACAACAGAACGTTGTCTGATTCACAAGTCATCAGGAGTGGTCAATTGTTGGAAGAGGACATCACATTTGATGAAGTTGAGTGCCAGTGAGGACAAGTGAGTCCATCAGCAGGATGGATTGGCACAATAACCTCAAAGATGGACTCAGCTATACTGAGGAGCTATAAGAATGACTCAGGACCAGTTAGCATTTCATTCTGTTGTGCATATGGTCTCCATGAGTCCAAGTTGACTTCATGACAGCTATCCATCTACTTCTTGTAGTTGTTGTTAAGTACCGTCATGTTGTTCCGACTCACTGTGACCCTATATAGGGTTTCTGAGGAACACCAAGTGAGCTTGAACTACCGATCTTCAAGTTCAAATCGACTTTACAGTCCAGGGCATTAACCCACAGCATCACACCAGGACTATCTACTTAGTTTATTTTTTTAAAAAAGAAAAAAAAAAATTGGAAAGAAAATGAGGTGTAGTATTTCATATATTAGCTGACTCTTAGTTGGAAGTTGTTCCAAAAATATGATGAGAATCTTTCCATTGAGTCTGTTCATAATTATAGAACATAGACTCTGAAAGAAATTAAGGTTCACATTAGTACAATCAATGTATTTTTTCATTTAAATAAAGCAAAGCCCTGAAAGTGGATGTGACTTACACATGATGAGGCAGCTTTGACTGGAGACTGCTGGTCCTCCAGTCAGTGTCCTTTCTCTTGTAACTAGGATGACTAGGTGACACTGTTTACATATTGTACTGGTGTAATTACTAAGGGTCCTCTCTCAAGATTGCCCTGTTCATTCTCAAACTTACCCTAGTTGTCAATGCCTACTAAAACCATAAGGGATTTAGAGTATTTTCAAGATGAAAATATATAGACACATGGCTGACATCT